AAGACAAGGGAGAAAATCCCATCCTCAGGAACAAATAGATGGGATAACACAAATTGTACTTATCTGGAGTCTTTTTTTTATCTGTGAGAAGTGGATCCAAGCTTTATGACTTTTGATCCTCTGAAGCCTATATGAACTTTATTATATAATAGGGCATAGAAGTTTTAGATATCTACAGCTAGTCTAATCACCAACATTATCAGAGATCTGAGAAGGATAAATTCTGTGTAACTTTTGAATCTGTTAAAAAAAAAATGACAGGTTCCAGTCCATACAAAGTTAGCCATACCCAAGTCTCAATAGTGTTGGGGGCAGAAGTAAATCTTTGCCAGGTCTATAAAGTGAGAGTTTTTTCCTCTCTGTGGAAGAGGGACATGGAAAAGACTCACCTTATTTTGTCTAGGCAAAGGTGGTGCAACCAACTTTCCAGTGTCCTGTAGCCTGTCCACAGTCTGTGCCCGGTCCTACCTGGCAGCAGGTGTAGCATCTGAGCATCATGCTCATTGGTCAGCATTGTCACAATCCATGGAGCCCCATAATCTTCTTTAGAGACCTTGGGTCATTGTCAGGATCTGGAATTTTCTGTCTGATATTATAAACATTTTAGTTAACATTTTAAATGCCATATTCTGCAGATCTCTGTAGTATTAGAAGTCTGCCTAGGTAAATCTGGCAACTTGTTCATTTATAAGAATGGCTAGTAACTTGTATTTTTTAAATATCTTATAACAGGTTAGCAACTTTTATAAAACTAAGACTTTATTTTGTCAGGTTTACCTTTAATCAATGTAAACATCTGACATACGGGTGATCTTAGGCTAACCTTATAAAAGAGTTTTGTTTTTAAAAGTCTAAAGAATTGAGACCCATGGGCCTAGCAATTATTTTAAGCCCTTTGTTAAACTTAGGTCATTGTCTTAATGTACCATAAGAAGTAAACAGCTTAATTTTTTTATTAACATATGGAACTTATGACTGTGATCTTAAATTTTAGCTCTTGTGATTTATGCACAAATATTAACAATATAACAGAAGCATAAATATCTTATAACCTTATAAATTTGAACAATTAAAAATCTTTTAATGTCTTTTGGTAAGAATATCAAAAATAAAGCACCCTGGATGTGTTTAAAATCATTATCATCTGGGTGACTACTAAATGCTGTCAATTCCCAGTGTTACTAGTTTTAACTTTTTGACAGATTTAATCATGAAACAGTTTTAATATTATCTTTATTAAAAAGACATCTGAATTCTTGATAACCTAAATTTAATGAATAGAGCTCAGAGATAAATTCTGTGCTATGTCCATAAATGACTGGCTACTGTTAGAATTAGACAGTAAAATTATTTGAACCATTTTTGTTTTTTGTTTTGGCTTTTGGCTTATAATAAAATCTATGTTTATACCAGAAAACACAGAACTTTTTAACAAGTATACAGAATTAATTTTGGGGGGGGATATAAATAAAACTTTTAAACAGAATTAACCTGGTGTGGTCAAAATTTTAAACCCATATTACTATTATAAATAGATATGAGAGCCCCTAGTAAACAGTTTACATTCTTCTCTGACCTTTTTACGACTTTCTTTTGACCCTCTTTAAATTTTTATTACTTTTTGCTCTTTTTTTGATTCTCTTAGACATCCCCATGTTAGACAAACCTGGTCGGGGTGTCCGTGGGGGGTCCAGAATCGAACATTTTTTCTTTTACCTGTAAAATAATCTCAAGATTAAAAGAACCGTCCCGAGGCCAGCCAACATAAATGTTGGCCACTCGGAACTGCAGAAAGTTTGCCATTTTTTCTTCTTGACGTCCAGGGACTGGTTGTTGGCTCGGTCCCAAACGTCTCCCCAATGGTCTAGAGTCAAACTTAAGGGGGTCATTAGTTGTTGTCCGATGATGGTCAGATGGTGAAAAACAAAAAGAGACAAAGGACAAACACTGAAACAGACACTCAGGCCAAACAAAGGCCACACAGCTGCAAATCAGTGCCAAAAACCGAAACCACAAATTAAAAGGGGAGCAGAGACTTGCGTAGTCCACTCCCAGGGACGAGGGTTGACTGCTCACCCTTGCCCACCCAAACTCCCTGTGGAGCGTCCTCCAGGGGCAGACTCAGAGGGGAATGACTCATCAGTCTACCTAGTGAGTCTCTACAAAGCCTGCATAGCCCATACAGGGCTTCCAAATAGACAGACAAACAGAAAACATAAATCCAAATAAGCCGGCCGGACTTACCTCCTCTTAGTCGTGGTAATGAGTCTGGAGTTTCCTCTGAACTCCTGGCTGGCTCGACAAATGAAAGACCCCCAGGCCCCTAAGGGGCACAGGGTCCTGAGGAGCCCCTGAGACTCAGAAACCAGACCAAGAGCTGCAAAAGCAAGAGGGTTTATTGAATGAATGCGCATTCGAGTGTCAGCAATATCGGGAAAGCTGCACACCTTAGCATGGGGTGCAAGCTCCTTATATAGGAAAAAACTGCAGATCAGCATACAGGCAAGGGGCACAAAGTGATTGACTACAAAGTATGATCTCATGTTAGAGTGGTCAACCAGGTGTGACCTGCTTTTCTACAAAGGAAAAGCCACAGAATGTACCCTGAAAAGTCCTTGATTGTCTGTTGGCCAGGTGTGACCCAAAAAGGATTGTTTGTCTGCCCTCGAGTTGGGGCCAATTTCCTTGTCCTGGGCCAAGGCCTGTGGGAAACTTTTTCTCTCTGTGAACTAAAATCTTTCAAAACTTTTTCTCTCAGCAAACTAAAATCTTTCATAGTGCCATATTATGAGTGTTGTTAGTACATTAGCCATTGTACTATTATTTATAATAGGAAGGTACTGGAAGTTCATTAGTAAGAGGCCAGATATGAAACTATAGTAATTACAATAACCTATAACTGGTACAGCATGCATTTATTAACTACAAATGAAAAGGAATGACATAGTACTAATATGGAAGATATTTTAAGTGAAGAAAAGCAATGCTAAAATGCTGCCATTTGTATTTTTACAAAATGAATCCAGGGACACAGTAGCCGTTCTATAGCATCTAGAAATGTTTACTATCCAGGAATAACCCCTGCATTAGCCTGCAAAACTCAGTTCATTATGATGTTTATATGATACTGTGGATTTACTTAGGGCCTCTGAATTATTGAACCATAATGGCTAAAACTGTAAAATAAAAATGCAAATTCTGGGTTGGAGAGATGGATCTGTGGTTAAGAGCACTAGTTACTCTTGCAGGGGATATGTGTTCAATTTCCAGTACCCATGTGGTGGTTCACAGCTATCTATAACTCCAGTTACAATGGGTCTGACATCGTACTCTGGCATCTCTGGGCGCGTGCATGCGCACCTACACACACAGAGAGTCAAAAGATTCATACACATAAAACAAAAATACATAAATAGATTAAATGCAAATTCAATCTAGAACAGAGTAAACATACACAGTACATTTTCTTTACACTCTACCATATTTTTGTAAATCAATTACAATAAATAAAGGTATGTGACACTGTGTCTGTCTTGTTACCTGGAGTATTGATCAACAGCAGGAATATCATCCATGTATGTCCTGGCCTCAGAGACTAGCACCACATCTAACACATGTCAAGAACTCAAGAGTTGTTTGTATGCAAGCCTGTCCTCTACAGGTGTTACACTTGCCAGCCCTTATAATGGCTTGAGCCAATCCCTACAATTTATTTTAAAATACATGCATGCACACATGCACACATATGCATACCCCCACACAAATGGTTACAAAGAACCCTGAAACAATTCATAAGACAAGAGATCTGTAGACAAGAGAGTGTTCTAACATACCCCATGGACCATGCTTCCCTATAACATTGTTACCTCTTCCTCAGAAGTATCTAGAAAAGAAATATTGGCAAATTGGCAGAAAGCTTCCAGAAGGCAGGGGGTGGGGAGTGGGGTGTGGGGTGTGGGGTGAGGAATCTAGGATGTCTTAGCATTTCTTATAGCCATCTCTTATATTATAATTCCCAATGGATTATTTTGGCTATAAAGTGTTTTATTACTATTGCTACAGTATGTGTGTGAGGGACAGAGAGGAGACATTTACTATATTTTGATTCTATTTTCCAAATACTTGTACCAATAACTCTTCACTTAAATATTGTATATCTTTTTGTTTTACTGCACAGAGAAACTACAAAATAGAATGATATCACAAAAATCTATACCTACAAAGATTTGAGACTTAAAATACGAATTTCAATATCCCCCAAAGTTCATTTCTTGGGAAAGCACATTTCATGTGGTAGTGGTAGAAAATGGATTGTCATCTTGTCTTCTGTGGCTTTAACCCTTCGATTCCACTTTAGAGTGAATCCAAGCTATTCGGGCACCTTCTCTGCTTTCCTCTATAGCGAATTCTACCTCACCTTTTGGATTTTCCTTCTACTTTAACTTCTCTTCTTTCCAATTTATTAATTCACAATGCTTATAATAAGAAATAAAACCACCAGAGAAAGAGTAATATATTTAGGTTGGCTAGTGCTGTATTTTCTTTCTAGCAGGGAAACCCAAACTATAGTCACATGGTTCTTTGATAAATATGGAATGAAAGCAAAGACCAAAAGCCTTGAAGGATGGTGCCATCCATTCTTGTGGCTTTAGCATTTAACCATATCTAATAAGTTACGTTTCCTTATCTGCAACCAACTGTGTTCTTTTGAGTTCCAAAGGATACTCTGAGCTGCTCTTAGTATTTCTCTGCAACAACTACTGTTAGAACTTTCATGTACTACTCAAAGCTGAACTCATCTCACATATAAATTTATAATGCTCTCAAATTTAGCAGTCAATTACTTTGCTCCTTTCAATTTATTTTACCTTAGCCCTCTCATCTTTTTGGTAAGATAATAATTTTAGGCAACTGTAGCATGCCATAGTTCTTTACTTCAAAAGAATAAGTGAGCATACTGGGAGGTTGCCACTGGAAATTCACAACTCTAAGTCTGTTGCTCTTTCTTCTCTTTATCATCTTTGAGTACTAACAAACCTGATCAAATCTCTACTCCCCTAGGCAAAACTCTACTACTATTTTCCAATTGGGACAAGGAGAGCTTTAGTGAGTCTATGGAGTTCTCTCCCAAGCAATGCTTACTACATCCACTTTTACCAGTCCTTCTAGGATATTTTTCTGATCACATTATTAAATGCAGCTAGCCATAAAAAGCCCAGGTACAGCAACAAATGAGTCATCAACTTCATCATAATTACATCAATACTAATAATCTTATTTCTAATCTACATAGTGTTTGTTACCCATTTCAACTTCATGGTGACTATTGCAATATAAATAAATTAAATTACCCCAATGTAATTACTTAGTGTTTTCTCTCTATCTCCACTCTTCAGCTGTCAGGTATCAGTGAGAGTCAGTTTGGGACTGCAGATTTATGAACATGATGTTTCTTCACACTGACACTGACAACATTGGACAGACAAAGGTACTTTTAAGACAGTGAAGTGTCTGTAGGGAGGAGTCTCTGGAAGAATTCTAGATTGTCATCTGCTTATCAGATGGGCCAGTTATAGGGCAGAAAGAAGGGGCAGGAATGAAAGAGGTCGAGTTCCTGTTTTGGCCCACAGTTGACAATTGCTAGGAATAACCAGCGAATACTTAAAGAATGTTAAGTGATCCATCAACATCTTTTTTTTTGAGATGAGGTTCTCACTATGTAGCCATGGCTTGCTTGGAACTCACTAGATAAACCAGACCAGACTGACCTTGAACTCACAGAGATCCACATTCCTCAGCCTCCTGTATGCTGGATTAAAGGCTGACTCTCATCACACCAAGCACAAACAACTCCTACCAAGGGTCCTTCCCAGGGATCAGGAATCTAGGAAAACAAGTTATAGCAAGTTAAGTAGGTTCTGGGGTGATAACTGCTGTGGTTTCAGGAAACTGCCATCGTTTAACAAAACTGGAGGAACTTTTCAAAACAGCATGGTCATGACTAATAAACACATAAAACCAGATACTTCTTTGTTACAAGAGCTTTTCTGTGTGTTTTGGGTGTTTAACAGTATCCCTGGTTTCTTCCCACTTGATGCTACTAACAACCTCTGTCACCAGTATGACAACTGAAAATGTCTCCAAATATAGCCAAATGCCCCTATATAGAAGCAGCAAAATCACCTTCAACTGAGAAGCCCTACCTTAAAGAGAAGCAGAGCTTTGCTTCCTACAAACCTCATACATGTAGATTCCAAAACCGAAGTTGGGCCTCCCCTCATCATTTATCAGAAAACAGCCTTCAGCTTTCAGAATGGACCTGAGTGGAAGAACATTAACATTGATGGGTATCCACTTGTAAAGCAGACCAGAACTCAACAAATGTGTGGCAGTACCTGATATTCTGAATTTGAAATAGCACCAATCAGATAAAAAAAAAAAAAATCCTCTACATAGAGCAAATTTTCCTTTTTTATAATTTATTTATTCTTTTAAATTTCATTTTACATTCCAACCACAGTTCTCCCTCCCACCCTTCCTCCTGCCCCCCTTGCCTCCTCCCTAGCCCACCCCCAGTCCACTCCTCTTCATGGGCGAGCAGTCCCATGAGGAGTCAACAGAATCTAGCAAAATGGGTTGTGGCAGGGCATAGGCCAAATTTTCAATAGTGGCATTTCCCCCTCAATCTCTGTCAAATAATGTTTCAAATCAAATGTATCATTTGAAATTATATCTCTTTAGATGTATTACATTGTTAGTTAGTTAATCTATAAGTTATCAGAATATAAATTCCCAAAGAACAAAGCTTTTGCTCAGCATTTTTATATGCCTAGCAGTTTCTACAGTACCTGGTGGTTATATGTTCTCCATGATTATCATTGAATTAGTGATATTGTTTAGGATTTATTGATTCTAAACTTCCAGATAATAGACTGAGTTAATGGTCCACATTTAGATAGGAAGCTTGTACTAGATCAAAGTCTGTTATATCACTAAGCCCTACTTGAGATGACATGTTTCATAGCAACACTTGTGAGGAAAGATGTAATAATTTTGCATGTAATCTCCTTATCTCATAGGCGGCTTATCATAAAGTGTAAACTAGCACACGATGCGGACACATTTTAAATATAATTGACAGGATTAAAAAGCTTAATAAGGATATATCTATTCTAACTTTATCAACTTCAACTCATATGCAAGTGAGAAAAATACACTTAAATAGAAAAGTAGAATTTTCTTTGTCAAGATCTATTTGAACTGGAACATGCTCCTGTTTCTGTGCTCTTCCTTATAGACATAAATTTCCTTGCCATTTCCTCATATTCAGGCCATACCATTTTTCTGTTCGCTGGCCATGATCCTGTGTGAGGCTCCTACTGCCTCTCATCTTGGAAAACTCTTCCATTAAATTGTAAAAGAAAAGTGAGAACTGTGGAAGGTAATAGAAAATGGTGGTGAGGAGCTGTGTGAGAGAAGGCAGAATGCAAGAGAAGAGAGAATTGTGGGACAGAAGAGATTATTGTGATACAACAAGAATCTCAAGTAGGAATGTGGAGTTTAGGAAGAGACCAGGGACCTGAGAAAAATAATAATATATTCTGAAAATGGGAAACTGGCAAAGTGTAGAATGAGAGAAGAAAGAATTATAGAACATATGGGAAATTTAAAAAAATATAAATGTATGTTATACAAACAGGTATATAATATATATTATCATAAACAACATGGTTAGACCTAAAACTATATACACAAACACAGATTTGGTGGGCTGGATTTTATATACAGCCTGCGGGTTGTGACTCCACTGGGGTTGCATATCAGATATTTACATTATGATTCATAACAGAGCAAAATTAAAATTATGAAGTAGCAATAAAAGTAATTTTATGGTTGGGTGTCACCACAAACGGAGGAACTGTATTAAAGGGTCACAGCATAAAGAAAGTCAAGAACCATTGCTTTAGAGGAAGTTGTGCCACTTTAACAATGCACCCCACAAGAACCAAAGACTAAGAAACAGAAACAAGAAACCTTCCAAAGGGTAGGTCTGAGTAGTCCAAGGGACTATTTAAAACAATATAGGTTGTCAATATAGCCCTCGGTTACCTTTCAGGGGTTATGGGTGGGCCCCTACTGCTGAAAACACCACAAGTTTAAGACATAGGACTCAGATGATTTGAGCTGGATCTAATCTGAAAACCTCCTTCCTAAGGTCTAGTTTCCACAGTATCAACAAATAACTATGCAAACTGCCAATTAATCACACCTACCCAGCTGCAACACCTATGAACCACAACAATTACTAATATAGCAAGATGTGCATAAAAGTGCAGCAAATGACACTCACATGGTGGTGACAACCAACAGCTGTTGAATTGAACTTACAATGCACTCAACAGGAAGGAAACCAGTTCTGGTACCGGACACATAGCCGGCTTCTTAGACTAGGGAGGTCATGGACCTTAGAATAGGATCTATTATTATTACCGCTTTTCTCGACCAGCATTAAATTCTGACTATAGTCTAAATATTATCCTTATACCCACAGATGAGTGCAACAACCACTTCTCATCAAAGAAGCCTGTCTTTACATCAAATGGAGACCATCACAGAAAATCACACCTGGACACAATGTAGAGAGAAACGGATTATGAGGATCCCAGCCCCAAATGGACAAATTTACATCACAGCTCCTGCATCTATATCTCAGGGAATATGACTGAAGAGGGGGCATAAAAATTTCAAGATCCAGAATACCAGGGAGTCTGCTGTGAACAGTCTTTCCTAGAAATGGCTACATGAGCAAGACCCAAAGGATGGCAATATCAATAGACACATTAACATGGAAGGGGAGCATTTTCATGGGGTCCCACCCTAGACAAAGAATTATAGGTAACTAATGACTATGGGAGAGAGAGAATTAGCCTCTCCCATGGATGAGGTCCCTTACTGGTTATCTAATACAAAGTGGTTATTCCTGAAACCATATACACGCAAACAATAAAAGACTTAGCAGGTTGTACTTACATATTTATGCATACACATATACACATATATATAATATATGCATGGTATGTATATGTACATAATGATGATAAAGCAACAGTAGCTATCAATTTGAGTGGGGCATTGGAGGAATTGGAGGAAAGTTGACTGGAAGGGACTGGAGGAAGGAAAGGGAGGGGGAAAGTGATTCAGTTTTATTAATTGAAAATATATTTAGCCGGGTGGTGGTGGCACACGCCTTTAATCCCAGCACTCAGGAGGCAGAGGCAGGTGGATCTCTGTCAGTTTGTGGCCAGCCAGGTCTACAAGAGCTAGTTCCAGGCCAGGCTCCAAAGCCACAGAGAAACCCTGTCTTGAAAAAATGAAAAAAAAGAAAAATATATTTTAAAAACAGCCAAAAGACAGGGAGTTATGAGAAAAAAATATAGAAGTACAGTTGAGACAAGGAATTGTGGAATAAAGAGAGATTATGGAAGAAGCAGAGAACTTTGAGAGAAAGCTAAAAAAGAAAATAGTGAGGAGCACTGAGTGTTGTGAAAGAACAGAGAACTATCAGTGATAATGAGAAATTGTAGGAGAAAAGTAATTGTGGCAGAGAATTAATTAGTGTGAGAAGGCCGGGCGTTGGTGGCACACACCTTTAATCCCAGCACTCGGGAGGCAGAGGCAGAGGCAGGCGGATCTCTGTGAGTTCGAGGCCAGCCTGGTCTCCAGAGCGAGTGTCAGGATAGGCTCCAAAGCTACACAGAGAAACCCTGTCTCGAAAAACCAAAAAAAGAAGAAGAAGTGTGAGAAGGGCTGGCCATACGACAGCAGATAAGAGTACTTACTGCTCTTGCAGAGGACCCAAGTTCTGTTCTTTTGTAGCACCCACATCAGGTAGTTCACATCTGCCTATAATACCAGCTCCAGGGAATCAACAACCTCTTCTGGCCTCCACAGATAACTGCATTCATATGTACATAGCCACCAAAAATAAACAGACACACACAACTAATATAAATAGTTTTTTTTTTAAGAAAGAAAAACCCCAGATTGATAGCTGGGAAACCAACATAGGACTGACCCAGGCCCCCTGAACGTGGGTGTCGGTGAGGAGGACTGGGCAGTCTATGGAGCCTCTGGCAGTGGATCAGTATTTATCCCTAGTATACAAATGGACTTTGGGAGCCCATTCCACTTAGAAGGATATTCTCTCAGCCTAGACATACTGGGGAGAGCCTACTGGGATTGACATGTAAAACAAGCTTGTTTCTAATTTAAATTAAAAACAATAAAATAAAAACTTTAAGGGGCATGGAAAATTATGGGAAATCCAGTACTGTGGTCAGGGTAGGGAAATGCAAGGGATTAACAACAGTGAGAGCAGCTGGGTGGTGTTGGTGCAAGCTTTTAATTCCTGCACTCGGGAGGCAGAGGCAGTCGGATCTCTGTGAGTTCGAGACCAGCTTAGTCTACAAGAGCTAGTTCCAGGACAGCCTCCAAAGCCACAGAGAAACACTGTCTTGAAGAAAAAAAAACAGTGAGAGCTTTGAGAAACTGAGAAGGAATAGAGAATGGCCAGAGGGATGAGAAGGATCCGTTAAGGAACAACAATGAAGGTAGGCAATTACAGAAAAGAATGCAATGTTATGGGAGTACAGCATTATTATTAAAGAGAACAGGAAATAATGAGAGACATTGGGGAATTATAAAAAAGCATGCAGAATTGTAATAGAATGAAGAACTGTCAGTGCATGAAGAATTATGAGACAGGGGACTTAATTGTGAAAGTAATGAGGGAAAGGAATTATGAAATAGAGAAAATTGTGGATGAGCCATGTTTTTGTGAAAAACAGTGAACTGAGGAGACCCACAGGAACTGTGAGAAAGACAGGGCTATTCATGGGATAAAACAGGGCACTCTGGGAGAGACAAAACCTGTGAGGCACAGAGAATTTTTAGGGAAATGTAGGAATTGTGTAGAAAACCCACAGGATTGTGGGATACACTGAGCACTGTCTTCTAGAAATATTTTTAATACTCTTAAAATACAAAGAAATATACAAGGATATAACTATATTGAAATACAGTTATCATATTTTTACAAGGATTTGTGATTGTTAATGGCTGATTCCCCTGGGAAATATGCTGTAGGCTGATGTAATAGTTTTTGTTTGTTTTGTTTTTTGAGACAGTGTTTCATCTGTCCTAGAACTTACTCTTGTAGATCAGGCTGGCCTTGAACTCACAGATCTCCTGCCTCTGCCTCCCGAGTGCTGGGATTAAAGGCATGTGCCATCACTGCCCAACAATATATTTTTAAATGTTATTTTGATACAGTTTCAAGGCCTTGTCTAGAAGACAGGCTGTTCCCATTCCTGAGCAACTTGCTTAATTAAGCCTACCCTCTAAACATTTTCTTTATTAGCCTGTCATACTCTGGACCACCATACACCTGTCCCAGCCATCCCACAGTCAGATACCAGACTACTAAAGACAGCTCCAGGGCAGGCTGAAAATATCCAAATTAGCCTATCCAAAACCTGCTGATACTGTCCCAACCATCCTTTCCACAGAAACCAAAATAGAAGCTCTTATGCACAGAGACTTTCTGTCCTTTTCTCTTGTGATCAGTCCTGAAACTTCCACCTGCAACTGTCCCCTGCCATGGCTTAATGTGTCTTTCCTCTCTTGGGATCTATGAGTATAATAAGCTATCAATTTTATGATAACTGTTTTGGTTTGCTTTCCATTGGTGTGATGAACGCCATAAACAATAGTTATGGAAGAATGGAATTTGAAGGGATGTCAGGGCAAGAACTCAAGGCAGGAACATGAAGGCTCCTACGAACTGAATCAAAAGCCACGGAGGCTATGGAGGTACACTGCTTACTGGCTTTCCTGTACACCTACAGTATCATCTACCCATGGGGAACATCACCCACAGTGAGCTGGGCCCTCTCACATCAACCATTAACCAAGAAAGTGCACCCACAGACTTGCCCACAGGCCAATCTGATGGAGGCAATGATTCTAGCTTGTGTCAAGTTAACAACAGTCTAACCAGCAAAATTACCATCTCCCATCTGCTGATTTACCATCCCCAAATAATATAACTTATTTTATTTTATATGAAACATAATTTAATACTTATATGAAAGCTGTAATTCCGTGATTGCATGGAGTACATTCACAACAGTTGTCGAAGGCCTGAAAGGACAAGGCAAGGGAAGTTTAAGTGCATGGACTGAATTGCATTATTTTATTCCGTAAATAAGCACAAACACTACCTGTTCATTCAAAAACGCAAACTGACCTTTCAAGAACCTAACGAGGTGACAGTAAAAAAGGAAAAACAACAACAACAACAACAAAGCCCAGCAATTTGACAACTCCAAAGCGCCTCTTCCCTCTGCTGACTAAAGCACACATGCAACAGAGCCACTCACACCTGCTTACGCTGCTACTTACCAGCCGGCCGACTTGAAAACCCCGCCCAGGCCGAGGAGGCGGGGTCGGGAGAGAAGGCGCGGGCAGCTATAGGCCTCCGAGCGGAAGGGGTGGGACCCGGGTAGGACCCGCCCACCCTGACTGACAGGCGTTCTTCTCAGCCTGCGGCCTGCCTTCGTGCTTCCGGAAGTCCCGCCTTCGGAAAAGGAAGTAACTGCGCACGAGAACGCCGGCTGTGA